GGGGAGCAAAAGGGAGGAGAGTTCTTGAGAGGTGAACAGCAGGCAAATGATATGAAGCAGGCAAATGATATGAATTAAAAAGAAAAAAGAAAGAGAAAAGTGGAAAGAGATAAAATAGAACCGGAAGAAGGTAGGAAAAATAAAAGCAAAGAAAAGGAAAGCGCAATACCTGGAGTTTGGGTGTAGAGACTTGCATTGGCCATGAAGTTTCTCTTGTTCTCTGTGTTGCCCAGGCTTCTCTTGGAGGCCAGTCCCGTGGTTCAGAGGGTAGTGACTTGGCAACTTGGCCCCTGGCAGCATGGTGCTCTGAGGGCCAAGCAGTTCTGAATCAGCACTAAGGTGCCAGCCAGGCATCTACCAAGGATCCCTGGCCTGGCACCCATGTCCCCTTGTGCACCATGCCCTCTGCCCAAGGCACACCCTGAAAGGGCACATTCTTAAAAAGAGGCTGGGTACACTGAGGATCCCTCTGATTTCCCCCAGATTGCCCATACTCTCAGCCTCAGCGTCTTCCCACTGCAGCTCTGTCCTATGCACAAAGGGGGTTGGTGGGGGTGCTCAGGCAACCACCAATTCCTGTCCCTGGGAGTGACCTCAAGCTTGAAAGCATCCATCAACAGATTGTTGGACTCTGATCCAAGATCACTGTGAAAGTCCCTGCCTGATCAAGGGGTGGGACCCACCTGGTAGGACCCACCCGATGGGGAGGGGGTGACTCCCGGGTGCCCATCTGCGGGATCTGCACTGTGTCCTGCAGGACTGCCCTGGGCACTGAGAACCTGGTGGTCCTGGGGGTCATTACATCCTTCTAGATAGGTGTACCTTTTTTACACTCACACTTCTAAAGAAAATCACAAAAAATAGCTACAAAACGAAAATAAAGCAGCCCATTTCAAATGAACACATTTGCAAATTACACCGAGAGGGAGGATGTGAAAGGGAGAAGGAGGGACGGTTCTTACGATGCTGTTCCAAAATTTGACTTGACCTCCGGGCGCCCAGGGATTTGAAACGGTTCAAAACGAAAAGCCTACATTTGACTTCGAAATTTTCTTAACGCAAGGCGTCGTAGATCCGCTTCCCCGTGGAGAAAGGGATTCTGCCATCCCTGGGAGATTTGACCAGAGAACTTGAGGAGGGGTAATTTTATAACATCAGATTTGATATTTCGAAGGCAGGCCAGATGTTGCTAGGCTCGGATCCCGACGCCAGGAGCAGAACAGGCGCTGGCCGCAGCCCGGATGGCGCGTTCCCCTGGTTGCTGGCGTCCGCGGCACCTGAGCCTGAGCAGGCGGCCCCGCCAGCGTGTCCGCCGAGGGGGCTGTCAGAACTGAGGCTTCAGGAAGGGCTTAAGAGAGCCGAGAGAGGGGAGTGCGATTAGTCCCGGGCGCCGAGGCCACGCGTCCTGGGATAGGGACCGAGAACCAGGCGCCGGAAGCTGCAAGCGAGGCACTGGCCGGCGAGGCTCCCCCGGGCTGGATTTCCCGGCCTGTCACCTGGGGGGAGGGTGTGGAACTCCCCGAAGGCACTTTTGCACCGGAGGCGAACTGGCCTGTGCAGAATCAACTCCCCCATCAAGCCGGCTCCCGCACTTCGTTTTGCCGAGTCAGGTACAAACTCGCCGCAACCTGGGGAAGAGACGGAGGACACCACTGGGGCCGCTGGACGAGGAGCTGGGACCAGGACTCTCCTGGCAACGCAGAGGCCCCCAGTCCCAGGCAGCTGTCCAGCCCATCCCCGGACTCAGTTTCCCCTTCTGTACAGTGGTTCGCGGACCCCTTCGCCAGCAGCTCCGGAAACCCGCGCGGGAGGCGCGGGATGGGAGGGTTTGGCACTCGAGGAGGGAGTCTGGAAGGCATGCACCTGGACTAAGGGCGTCTGGCTAGGGAGGGAAGTGACCCTCTAACGGCACCACTGTCGTCTGAGTGGCTGTGGAGTCAGGGGGGCAGCGCTGCGAGCCCGGCTGCGGGGAGCACACCCCATGCGCATTCGGGAGGCGCCGGGACCCTCCCGATCCCCGAAGCCCCAAGCCGCCCAGCCGCCGGGACGGGGTAGCTGGCCTCGGGTGCTGAGGTCACCTTTTCCACTGCGCTCGCCGTGAGCCGGCAGTCTCCGGGATTCTCGTGGCGGCTGCGGCGGCATCGGAGTCCGCAAGTCCGAGTCGGGCCGTGGCGTCGGGCCTGGCGGCTGCGCCGCGGACATGGAGGCTGCGGGGCCCGCCCCGCCGGGAAGCGCGCCTGCTTCTCAGCCCTGGGCGGGGCGGGAGAAGGGGAATGCTTGTTTTCCGCGGGCCTCAGTGTTCCCCATCAGGTAGAGGGACCCCTACCCCCAACCCACACCTTCTGCGAACCCTTCGCCGGCCGCCAGCGCTGCAATGCCGGTGCAGACAAGGCCCCGCTGTTCGTGCGCCTTTTTTTTCGTCTAAAAGGGGTTTATCTGCCATCCTGCTTTGGAATCGCGCGCCGTGGAAACGGAGTTTGAGGGTCGGGGAATCAGACTCCTACCTGCAGAGACGGAATTCCTAGGAGGCGCCAAGCCAGGGGCGGGATCTCCTTCTTTCCCTCTAGTCAAGACATCGTAAGCTTTGACTTGAGCCGCAGGGCATTCCCCAGAGAGTCCCGGGGCTTCGTTCTCCGCATCCGCCAGGGCTGCGGACCTTGCCGGGGGCACCGGGCAATAGCTCTAGCAGTTGTCCAAGGAGTGCCTCCGCACCTGTGAAATGGTGTGGGAACTGGCTCCCCCAAATCTAGAGAAGGAGGCTCATCCTGAAAGTGCCTCCTATCGTAGAACCTGACCCAGGAACTGCTGCAAGAGATTCAGGGGGAGGCAAAATTTGCTTGGTGGGGGTTATTAGTGTGGCCCCAGTCATCTGTTCTGGGACCTGAAACCTTCAGGCTTGCATGGGGCAGAGATGGTCAAAGCTGAGTGGCTTTTGTTAAGAAACTCAACTTGGATGTGAAAGGATGGGGTGGCTATGCCCTTGGCAAGGTGTGAGAGCAAGAGTGATAAGAAGGCAGGTGGCTCCCCTGGGGTGTAGGAGGCAAAAGGACTGGATACTAACAAATACACCAGAAGGTCAACCCTGTTCTCTGTGGTCCCTGGCCCAGTGCCTTCTGATAGGTCTCAGTTTCCCCATCTGAGAGAGAGAGTAGGTGATGGGGCTGCTTGACTCCCACGCACCTGTCTAGGGAGGTGCTTTCTATATGCCTATGTGGGGAGGGATCCCAGCTGGGCTGCTCAGGACTCCAGGGAATGCTGGCTTTTCTCTAATGGCTGCTGGACCCCTACCATCTCCCTTCTCTGGATGGGAGAGAGGTCCCTCAGTGTGTGATACTATCACTCTTGGTGGCACCACACCATCCTTTTCTGAAGTCATGTGACTCCCAAGTCTAAATACACACATGGAGTCTGAAGCACCTGGAGGCCACCGTTTTCGGTTCTAATGATGGCTCTGAGGTTTAGAAGGGGGCAGCCTGGTGAAGTGACTCAACTCTGGGGGTGGAGGGACAGGATACTGGGCTCTTAGGGTCCTGTTCTTGCCAGAGCCTCTGGTTAGACATTTCTCTTTGCCCCAAGGACAGGGTGCCTCCACAAACCCTACTTCACGTAGGTAGCCACTGAGATTCCAGACAGAACTCCTATAGAAAGCAGAACTAGCCCAGAACCCCAGCTGAGTGACTTCTGAGGGACAGGAAGGGAAGGACATTCACTCTCCCCTAGCCTCCCTGAGACATCCATACAGTTCCACCGATGCCCTACCCTCACTGCCCCTAAGAATGAACTGTGTGCCTCTCTCCAACAAACCTTGCGGAGCTGGTGGGTGCAGGACCTCTGCTCAATCCCCATAGCTTCCCTAAAGCGAAGCGTCAGCATCTTCTCCAGATAGGTCAGCAGACTGAGGACCAGAAAGGGCTTGCCTATATAGCTTGCTTGAGAATGACAGGGCCAAAACGATAAATGAGCAGAGACTTGAGCTTTGGGATTGTTCACCCAAATGCTTGCTACTTATTTCTGCAATGATGATGAGAAGGAGCTAGGGAAGACGCAGCCCATTTCCTCAATCAGAGAAGAGCCAGGTCCTACACCAGATTGGATTCCCAGACTCACTGCACACTCTGTGGTCCAGCACTAGGTTTTGCCCAATACTCACTTTTCTCTGATGTTCCACAGCTGAGAAAAGGCGAAGCTGAAGACTTTCTGTCTCTGGCAACTATTTATTCCTCTAACTAGGGGCCCACGATCCACCCTACAGTATCAGGGATTGCCAAGGAAGATGTATCCACTTATCACTTGGTAATATAAGCAAAACGCTCTTGCAGGAGAGCATTTTCCTACCGGGACTCCCCGGGAAAAAGGAGGCTGTGCCTAGTAAACTGAGGTGAGGGAATGCACAGGTGCGACAGCTCTTCTGCGAGTTACATCCCTGCCCAGTTGGCCGCCTCGGCGCCCAGGTCAGAGGCTGTGCAAAGTCACCCTTTCCTAGGCGAGCCGCGAGGCCTCAGCCTCTGCTCCCACCTCCATCCCCACCTCTCCGAGACTCCCTAACCCCAGCCCAGGCTGCTCGCCATCCTAGCTGCCCCGCTCCCCGCCGTGCCCGCCTGTGCCTATGTGCCCTCCGGCACGTCCAGGCCCGGTGCCTCCGCGCCCTTGTCCCGCTACCTCAGCGCACGTCCCTGGCACCCTCTCATCACTGTCCCGCGCCTTGGGTGGCCCTCGCTGTCCGGATCTAGCCCTTTCACCTTCCTCGATCCCTCCTCTCCCAACTCTGGGGTTTGGTCTCGGAGTTCTCCGGCTCTCTTTCCTGGGCGTGCGCTCCGCTGGGTCTCCCTCGGTCTAGGTCGCTCGGCCCCTCGCGCGCAGCCCTCCCACCTCCCTGGTTCCCCGTCCCTCCCTCGGGCTCGGCCCAGGGGGTGGGGGGCGGCGCGGGGCGGGCGGGGCGGCCGGGCGGGGCGGGGCGGGGCGGTGACGCGGGGTGGCCGGGCATGAGGCGCGGCGGCGCGGGGCGGGGGCGCAGTCCCGGGACCGACCGGCCGAGCCCCGCGCGCCCCGCCCGCGCCCTGCGCCTCCACCCGGCCGGCCGGCGGGGAGGGGGCATGAGCCGGCGCCCGTGCGCTGCCGGGAGCTGCGGGCCGGCCTAGAGCCCCGCGCGGGCCGAGCGCCGCCACCGCGCCCCAGCAATCGCCGCCGCGCCCGAGCCGCGATGCAGCGGCCGGGGGAGCCCGGCGCCGGGCGCTTCGGGCCGCCCGAGGGCTGCGCAGACCACCGGCCGCACCGCTACCGCAGCTTCATGATCGAGGAGATCCTCACCGAGCCGCCGGGGCCCAAGGGCGCCGCGCCCGCCGCTGCTGCGGCCGCCGCGGCGGGCGAGCTGCTCAAGTTCGGCGTGCAGGCGCTGCTGGCGGCGCGGCCCTTCCATAGCCACCTGGGTACGTGCGGGGCAGCTGCCGGGCTCGGCGGGAGGGAGCGAGCCGCGCCGTCTCGAGGACGCAGCGCAACTAGCAGCGCACAGGCCCCGAGGCCATTCCCTCGGCGCGCTCTCGGGCCGAGAAGCCGAGGGTGCAGGCGCAGGACAGTGCAGAAGCCAGGCCTCGTGCCCGCGGGCCTTCACTACCGCCCTGAAGTCTCCAGCCCGGGAGGACGGTCGCGGGCGCACGACTAGATTACTAATGCCAGACCTCGGGTGAAAGCGGGCTCAGGCCGCGGGCGCTTGGGCCTTCTCGGCTCTGGGCTGACCGTGAGAGTCTGGCCAAGGCGGGGGAACTGAACTCTGAGGAAGAGGCCAGTGTCACCGAGTGCTGGGCTGGGGGCTGACGCTGGTCCTAGCCAGCCTGGAGCCTCCCGGAGCCCAAGGTCTCAGACAGGAGACCACTGGCTCTGCCACAGCACAGACATCTCCCCTGGCCACCCCACCTCCCCTTGTCTGGGGAGGAGAGAGTGGCTGTGGCCACTGCCCGATGGTCCTTCCTCTTCCAGGCCTGCTGGGCCCCGGTGGAGCTTAAGCGTCCTGCTCAGGGCCTGCTTGTTTTCTCCTTTCCTTGGCAGGGCCTGCCTTGTCAGTGCCCTCTTCACCATCCTCCCTCTTGCCTTCCCTTGTGTCACCCCTTGGTGGTCCACTCTCTGTGGGGTGGGTCTGCTTTCCCTCTCCATGTTCCCCTAAGGGTCCCTTCTCCTCTTTACTAACCCCCACTCCCTGCACATTTACCTCCACCTTGCCTGGCGCCTTTTAAATATAAGTAGGGCTAGCACCCATTCAGCAGTAGATGCTTGTCCCTGGCCCCCACCCCCAGCCTCTTTCCTGTACCAGCTGAACCTCCAGCCAGTGCCCCACCTTCCCCGGGACAGCAGGGCCAGTTTGTTCGTTTTGAGTCAGACTCAGATGCAGCCTCTCCATGAGCCTTTTGCCTTCAGCTGTTAGTAATTCGTTTGAAGCGGGCAAAATAAAAATAATTTTAGAACTAATGAAAATGGAAATATCTTCATGGGGAAGGATCTAAACGGAGAAAGCAGGAAGGACAGTTTTCCATTTTTCTGGGTGCTGTGGAAGTTCCAGGAAGTGGCCAGCCCCACCCTTGCTGACCACCAGGCTGCGTGGCTATGCCACGCACAGACGAGCAGACATGCTCAATCCACTGATGTGTTTCCCCTCATGCATCCTGCCCATTTGTTTGGGGCAAGCTCTCATCTTCCTAACTCGGGGCCATTTCTTCTTGTTTTCCCTTTTCTGTGAAAGACACACTCCTCCATGCGTCTGAGAACTGCAAACTTGTTCACTGAATATCCCAGAACCTCAGGGGCAGCTGGGGCCTGGGGAATGCCAGGGGCAGCCTGGGATTTCCCCCTTGCCTACCCCATCCCCCCATGCTGGCTTTGAAGAGGCTCACTCTAGGCAGCTGGCAAAATTTTGCTGAAGATTTTGTGTCCGGTGCTACTGGCCAGGCGTGAGTTCACCTGGCTCCCCACTTTCTCCCCTCAGCTGTGTTGAAGGCCGAGCAGGCAGCGGTGTTTAAGTTCCCGCTGGCGCCGCTCGGCTGCTCTGGGCTGGGCTCGGCGCTGCTGGCGGCGGGGCCTGGGCTTCCCGGTGCCCCTGGCGCACCGCACCTGCCACTGGAGCTGCAGCTTCGAGGGAAGCTGGAGGCAACCAGCACCGGGGAGCCGGGCACCAAAGCCAAGAAGGGGCGTCGGAGCCGCACCGTGTTCACCGAACTGCAGCTGATGGGTCTAGAGAAACGCTTTGAGAAGCAAAAGTACCTCTCCACGCCTGACAGGTAGCAAGGGACCAGGCTGAGTCCAGAGGGTGGCAGGAGTGTGTGCTGTTTGTGGTTTTTTTTGCTGAAGGTGTACCTGCTTTTTTCAGAATAGATCTCGCGGAGTCTCTGGGACTGAGCCAGTTGCAGGTGAAGACCTGGTATCAGAATCGGAGGATGAAGTGGAAGAAAATAGTGAGTGTCCCTGTACCATCTGCCGCTCCCTTGCCGAGCCCTTGTGCCCTTTAAGAATTGCTCTTTTCTCCACTTGGAAACTTTTGGCCAACTCTCCTGACTCCCTTGGTGCTGGGCGTCACAGGGTCCCTTTCAGTTCTCTCTGTCCCTCTGGATACCCCAGCCCAGTCCACATTCCTTTATTCTCCACTGCACCTTTCAGTCCAGGCTCCAACCTGTAGATCAAGCAGAGTTTGAAAAGAAAACCACCACCATTTCCCCGGGGCTACCCGTGGCCTTGGTTGGCCTCTTTGGGCACTTCACTCCTTTTCCTGGGCTCAGGGCAGATGGCACCTCAGCTCACCAAGGTGCTCACGGTCCTGCTCTGCAGGTGCTGCAGGGTGGTGGCCTGGAGTCTCCCACCAAGCCCAAGGGACGGCCCAAGAAGAACTCCATTCCTACCAGCGAGCAGCTGACCGAGCAGGAGCGTGCCAAGGAGGCAGAGAAGCCGGCAGAGGCGCCTGGAGTCGCCAGCGACAGGAACCGAGAGGACTGAGCCTGGCAGACAGTGTGGGCTTGGGGACCCCAGCGAGGCCCGAGTTCCCCTCTGGCCGTGGGAAGCCGCGAGCGAGCGGCCACACCGTTTGTTTTCTAAACTTTTCTTACTACTTTGAATGCGGACAGTTAGGGGCGGAACAAAGAAGGACACAGAGATTCTGAAGCCAAACCCCGTGCGTTCCGCCGTCCTAGCCTGGGAGACTCGAGTCCAGCGCTGTGGAGGGTCCTCTGGAGCTCCGCTGCTCTGGGCGCTCCCGCGCACTCACACCCTGCTCCTCTCCGCACTCCCGAGCCTCGGGGCCCGAAGTCGCCCTGCACGCGCCCACTTCTGTGTGTCGGACCGTGAGGCCCGGCCTCAGCCACAAGGGCCCTGGCCCCGAGTTGGCGAGGTGGCGCCAGGACACCGGGGCAGCTCGGCCCTGAGGCTGGGTCTCCGATGTCGCCGGGGCCCCTACCCCTCTCTTGCGAAGACGGTGATTTTTTTTTTTTTCCAATAAAATATTTTATGACACAGAGGGACTTGGTGAGAGGGTTTCTGAATCCACAAAGCGGGGGGTTGGTGGTGCTAAGGGTAGGCAGTGGGGGTGGGGGTGTAGTAGAGGGAAGAGGGACACTCAGCGGCATCTGAAACATCCTTTTCTGAGCCAAGCTGTGACCTACTACTGGGGTGGGAAGGCAGGGAGGGGGTTACTGCAGAATCCTAGGAATCACTTCCACTCTGAGCTTGAGGAGCCAGTCTGAATGCTGACCAAGCCACTCAGGTTACTCTGCAGTGGACGTGTCCTGCGGCTGAGAGCCGCCTTCAGTTGTTGGTTTGGTTCCCTGGGACTTGAAGGACTGGCTGTGAGGTCTTTGAGATGGCTCGGGCCATCCCTTCCAGTGACAGACATGAAGCTAGGACTGGAGGTTTGTACTAGACATTGGCTACCAGCGGCAGTGCCTGACTATCGATCGATTCCTGAGTCAGGGTAGTGAGAACACCTCCCCCAAGCAGATAGGGCAGCCCTGGCCAGGTGGTGCATGATCAGAAGGCTTCGCTTGTGTTCTGTCCAGCTTGGCTGAGCTTGGGAGCAAGTCTGTGTGTTCCTGTTCTTGCACTTTGTACAGGGAACACAGCCAAGGATATGGGATAGAGAAGCTACTTTTCTCGTTAAAGCTCAGAAAGACATCACCTTGGCCCTTCTGAGTTCCACACAGGGCCAGGATTCCAAACCCCATCCTTCCATATGCACATACTAGGGAAAGAGTAAGGAACCTCCTTTTCAGATGCAGGCATTACACTTAAGAATGTGAAAATGATGCCTTAGAGCCTCCACCTGTGGCCTTTTCAAATCATAACTTGATTGCTCCTTCCCGAAAGCTGTGCTTGATTTCCGGTTCCCTGGCATCTCATGCCTCAGTTTAAGGTCAGGAGAAGCAAGAAAGAAGGTGCTTTCTGAGGCAATCCTAACACACCCCAGCTCTAACAAGTCTCTGGGAAACCAGCTCCTGCTGGAGGCTCTGATTTCTGCCTTGCAAACAGCTCCCTAACTACTTGCCCACCAGTGTCCTTTGAGGAGCTTGTGAAAACCTGCCAGACTCTGGACTCACAGACAAGTGGATCATCAGTGTACGCTTGTGCTCCCTAACCCCTCCAGGCCTTGGAGTTACCTCCATAGGCTCAGTCTAGGTCCTCCCATAACCTTCCTGCTCCAAATTCAGGCTGGCCACTATGTTCCATGCTCTCCATTTCAAGAGGAGGAAAATGACGGTGGTCCCAGAAGTTCTGCCTGGGTTGGGCTTGGGCGACTGGGATTCCAGCCACAGCCTTTGTTAAGTCTGTGGGATTGTAGAAGAAAGGAGGGAAGAAAAAGGAGAGAAGGCCATCTAACCCATACCCCTGGCAGTCCATTCTGGGGCCTCAGATTTTACCGAATCTGGGGAATGCGATCTTAGGCAGATCACCCTATGTTCTATGGCTTCTCCCCTGGCAGCTCCTCACTCAACTGGACAAGGGACCAAGAAGGACCAGGGCTCAGGGGGAGGATGGGTGTGGGAGGGGGAGGTTTGTCCTGCGAATCCCGTGTCAGCACGCGCAGGAACCCCAATATTCCAGCGAGTACAGCTTCTTCCAGGCACAGATGGGGAACCTCACTTGCGGACTGCTGTCACGAGGTCATCAGTAGGTCAGTGGGGGATCTGGGCCCCAAAGGAAGGGGTCCAGATTCCAGGGGGACGGCGGGGGTGGGAGGGGTTTTGTCATTTCCTGCCCGCTGGGCTCCTTGGCTGCACAGGGGACCGGGTGACTGCAACAGATCTAGACCCCGAGATCCGAGAGTCGGAACAGCGGAGGGCTTCAGAGTACCAGCCACCAGCCGCACAGGGCAGCTCGGGGTTTCCTTGTTTGGGGGAGTCCCGTGAGACCTGACAGAAGCTCCTGTCCGGCTCCCGGGAGAAGTCAAAGCGCCAAGGCAGACGATTTGCCGTGGACTCCCGAAGCTTCGCGCGGATCGCAGCCCGCAGAGCCGGGGCCCTAGGCAAAGGGCCATGCACGAAGGTGATGCGGCGCACCCGCTGCGCGCGCCGGGGCCGGAGCGCTGGGTGCGCGGCCTACGTGCCGCCGGGTCCCGTCCACCCCCGGCGGAGACCGCCTCTCCGCCCGCAGCAGCCGCGCGCCTTACGCCAGGCCCCGGGCTTCGGGCTTCTGGAGGGACAGTCCCCTGCGCCCCTCCCCCACCTCCGCGGCACAAATCTCCTCGCGGCCTCAAGGACGGTCCTGGGAAACAAAACGCAGAGACCGCGCGCTAACCAGGTCGCGGCTGCAACTAGGGCGCGCGGGGGCCCGCGGCCAGGGGGAGGGAGCAGGCGCCTGCGTCTCGCGAGAGGCGGCCCCGGGGCGGTGGGCTGGGGTGGGGGTAGGAGATTGGGTGTGCGGGGGAGGGGGCAGGGGCTGCGGGAGGGCCCCAATGTCAGCCCGGACCCTGCGCACTGGAAGGGCCCGCGGTGATGCAAGGGCTGAGCGGGGACGAGGCATTAACCTGGCTGCAGCGCCGCGGGTTAGCGCGAAGTTTGCGTTTAACGCGCTTTTGTCTGGAGAGAGGGGGGAGCCGGGGGGAGGCGGCAGCTGGGCTGTAAGGGCGACTTTGGGGGAGGACTGGCTGAAGGACCCGGCCGGGATTGCATCTGGATTCTGAGACCCGGATCCTGAGCAAGCCGTCGGTGGAGGCGGGAACCTAGCTCCAGGGGCGCGCAGCTCTGGCCCCGCGCACCGCGCGTTTTCGGAGAGGATCGTGGTCCCTGAGGGCCTGAGGCCGGTCTTGGAGCCTCAGATTAGCGGCCGGTTGGGCATGGGGCCGGCATCGCCAGGATGACAGGCGAGACCCAGAGCGGGGCTATCCCCTACCTTCCAACTTTGCAAATAATAATAATAATAACGGTTACTCTGGTTTGCTTCTTTTCTCTGTTCTGAATTTCCCTGGAAGGTCACCGGTGGGAAGTCATACGCTGAAGAAAACAAACTCGAAAACAGGGCAACATGGGGGCGCTGGGCGTCATGGAGGGGGGCTGGTGTGATTCGAGCGAGACCGGCGGCTCTCAACCTGGAGTGAGCGCCACTGCAAGGCAACTGTTCTGAACTCCAGGGTTAGAGGAGAAATCAGGCACCTCCTCCGTTTTCCTTCACCCCTTTTCCTGATTTTGTTTTACACTAAAGGGGACCTCTTGCTTTAGAAGTGACTGATCCCACCATAAGTTCTTGCATCCAGAGAGGGGACCAGCCGATCCCTGGAGCCTCTGCACTCAAGATCTCCGCAGACCCGAGTTCCCAGGGACAGAGTCAGGCCAAGGAGGATTCCAGAAGGCAACGTTGGCGGCCAGGCCTCTAGCTGGGCTTTGGCTTTCTGAGTTGAAGGAGGTTTCTGGAACACCATCTCCTCAGCCCCCCACCTTGAGGAGCTGAGGGAGCAGGGACTCCCCTTTTGGTGGGTGGGGCAGAAAGGTGAGGCTGGGAGAGGGCCAGTGCACAGAATCAGCCTGGTTCTGGGTCTCTCCAAAGGTGTGGTTTTGGGAGGCTGGTGGTCCTTCTGTTTGCAGTAAACTGGTGGTGGTCCCTCCCTGTCTGTGTAGGGGGGTATCATTTGTGTGATATCACAAGTTTCCTCTGTCCTAGTTCTGTATTACTTCATCTCATCCATCAACTTTAAGACAACAGTTTCTGAAATCTGAGTTCAAATGAACTGTCGGGGGTTCCCAGGCACTGTGGACCCTGTGTCTGTAGGATGTGACTGCCCCAGGGTGTGACCTCACTGGGCAGCTATGGTCCCTCACTTCTCAGGCACTGCCTTCCTAGGAGAAAACTATGAAGCATGTGGGGAGGAGGGGACTTCTGAGAAGCCCTCCTGGAAGAGAGCAGAGCCCAGGGAACTGGATTCAGATTCAGTTACTCACCAGGCAGAGGCAAATGGGACAAGCTGTGGGGCCAATTCAGAGGTGGTTCTTGATTTTCCTGAGAATTTCATTTTTATGTAAATATAGTGATGATGCATGATTAAAAAAAAAAAACGGATGTTTTAGTAGGTCCCAAAGAGATCTTTGAGTAAATATACAATAAAAATTTCTGGTGGCATAAAAGCATTGAGTCATGGTTTCATTGGAAATGTTTTATATTTTCTTTCTTAGTATACTTCAGGAATCTAATATCAGAGGCATCATGGATCCCAGATCTCTGATACTAATCAAACACATACTTAGCAACTTCATTTGTGACAAGCAGTTATTGAGCATAGTAGGTAGTTCTAACCCTGAGACACAGCCCTCATTCCATTATGACAGACCCATAATGTAGGTGCTCCTTCCCCCTCTTTGAAGATAAAGCTCAGAGATGTTTAGCAACTTGCCCAGGGACACACAGCTATTAGTAGGAGAATTCAGATCTGACTTTTGCTCTGTGGGTCTTCACTGTCTCTTGCCCAGAAATCTTTAGGTTCAGCTTGGGGTGTCCCAGATGACTTAGGGTACCCAACAGTCTCTAGCTGCATAAAATGAGTCTCATCTATTTGTTCACAAAGTATTTATTAAAAAGCCTGTGGTGTGCCAGCCATGTGATCTGTATGAGGCACACAGCCTCTGACCTCATGAGTTCACACAGGAGATGAGGGGACCTAGGAGATATCCTAGAAGCCCCAGTTAAATGCACACGATGACTTTAGCCTTGTAGAAAATAAAGCAGGCAGTAGATAATGATTGGGATAGGGGCTTTAGCCAGGGTGGCCAAGGAGAGTCTCTCTCAGGAGCTGACACTTCAAATGA